GCCTAAAAATACTTATTTTGTTTTGAATTTATTTTTGTGAGTTCTCTATGACGTGCCGTACATGCCTGTAAATTTTCAAGTCATTTGGTTAATCCAAATAAAAATTAAAAATGGCCAAAGATGGCGGTGTCAAAACGTGTTCGCCCACATATTTTTTCACTTTTTACTTTTTGTTTTCACTTTTAGTTCGGGGTCTAAACAATTTTATTATTTTTTGAGACTTTTTTAGTGGGTTTTGTATTATGTGAAGGACACATCTGTACATTTTAGGGCATTTAGCTGTGTTAAAAAAAAATTGAAAAATTGTCAAAGATGGCGGGGTTGAAAACATGCTCGCACACTCACTATTTTTTATTTATTTTTTTATTAGTATTTTGGTTTCCGTATTTTATTTTTATTTCAAATTTGGTAAGGAATTCGGATGTAATGCTCAGGCAAATCTTGTTTAATTTATTTTTCTCCATAACATATTTTTTTTTCAGATTTTTTTTATGACTTTTTTTTTTTTTTTTTTTTTTTTTTTTTTTTAGTCCTCGTTCAGCCCGAACGGCCGAACGCATCCCCAAGGGGTCCCATACGTTCGGGCGTTCAGGTTCTGGCGTTCGGCCCGTCCCGAACGCCGGTTACCCTAGTTTGAACCGTATTTTGCTATTTCGCAAAATGGTCCAACCATTTGCAACTACTGGTAGCCGCCCAATGACATCTTATGGGGAAGAAACTTCTGGCGTGATATGGGAACAGTATTTTTCATTTATGAAGTCATTCTTGAAGATTCAATAGTCAGTGTCCAAGGTGTGGACGCCGCGCCGCACAATGGGGAACATTGTCATCGACAGTCTCTCTGTATTTGTGGTCGTCGGTGCTGCGGGTCGGGAATGTATCCACGAGAGGTGCTCACACCATTCTCATAGTTGTATTACTCTGCAGTGAAATTTTACTACAATAATTTGAAGGTCACAATATTGTTTTCTGTGGAGGCATGCATCCAAGGACGTTGCACGGTATCATTTCTTATTCATAATGACTATTCTGCAAGTGCAAACGCGTCCAATGTAGATAACGTTGATGTACAAAGGCTAGCAGAATTTCAGAGAGCGATTAGAAAACAACCGATGTTGAAAACATTAGTGGATGTTCTTGTTGACACGACAATCAAATATGTGCGACATCTCCTGTTGCAGGAATATGAAAGAATAAAAGCGCATGTAGAATACAGGGACCCTGCACATCATGAACAAAATGATACCACTCTTTTGGAAAATTGGATAATTTACAATAGAAGATAGATAGCTTAGTTAAGTCCAAAGTATGATTGCAAAACGTTTTTTTTACTGCAAATCGGGGTGCTATCTGTCGGAAGGTCAAACCATAGTTGCTTTAAATTAACCACGCTGGGTTTTTCTTAAGTGGTAACTCTTGGAGATGTAAGGGGACCCTGTACATCATGGACAAAATGATATCAATGTTTTGGAAGGTTGGACAGTTTACAATTATAGAAAATAGCACCTGCTAACTTTAAGTTAGCTAAGTCGAAAGTATGACGGCAAAAAAATTCTTTTACTACAAATCGGGGTGCTATCTGTCCGGGGGCCTGACGATGTTCTTGCTTTTATGCTCTCTGGTTCTTTGAAATTCCTAACTCACAACACTTGGCGATGTAAGCGGCGGAGACCCCTTTGCAAGTCATATGACGGTGACCGCTTCGCCCAACATATGAATTTTTCAAACATAATTTTTTTTTCCCGGTATTCATGTATTATTATGAATGTTATGAAGAAAAAAAAAAATTGTTAACAGCATAGACTGATAGTTCTTTATATATTTCAAAATTTGTTAAAATTTTCATGATGATATTTTTTATATATATAAAATCTTCTTATTTTTTTCATACATATCATCAACGTCTGTTTTGTCGAAAATTTATAATTTAGGTGTGTTCACTTTTCATAAAACATTTCATTTTTAACGAAAACATCGTTATTGTAGCAAAAACATAACATCAGGGAGATGCGAGGGAGGTTAGATATGCATCAGAAGAGAAAAGAAGACAGAAGGTAATTACACACGAAAAATTTGATGACCCGGTCGGAAGATTCAGACTTTAATGCTGTGTGAATAGCGCTCGAAAACTAAGCCTGAAGCAAAAAGACTCGGAGGCGCGTCCACCATAAAATTTCACCGTGGCCCCGGGCCATTCATTCACTCAACCTTCTGCTCGAACCTCACACTGGCACTGACGATCCCGACCGTCACGTGTTACTCCCACCACAACGATCGTCACCCCGCCAACTTAGTCTCTGCACGGTCTGCCCTGAATCCCACAGTTCGTCGGGCGATGCAGCGCGCAGCCGTCAAGACTACAGTCAACTTGTCGGGACTTTTCGACTCGCACCTTCACACATAACACCTGACCACTACTTCCCGAAAGCTGGCTGATGAGTCAAGAGAGAGATTTTCGGGAGCGCTTGCGAAATTTATAGTTGCGGAAATGGAGGTAGACGCTAGAAAGGGTTAGGACTGAGGTAGGGAGGGGTAGGGGAAGGTTCAGGGATAATCGCCCGACGAAAGTCATGTCGATCCTTCGGATCCAGGTGGTAGCCAATCAGAATCGTTGTGTATCAGGAATTTCCTTCTTCCACGGCGCGTCTCCTTGGTTAGAGGGGAGGAGGAGGAAGTCGGCAAAGTATTCCGGTGCAAGGATCAGAGCGGGAAGAAGAAGAGTGCGACACGGAACCAAGATCCAGACGATCAAGAAAGAGAAAAGGTGCGTGGGGCAAAGCAGAGATGGAAAAACGGTTACAGAAAGACAGAGAGAGATGCATGGCACCGACATGAAAGCAAAAAGGGCACCGAAACAGTTACAGCTCATTCAGAATCTTATGCTAATTCAAAATTGAAAATCACCAGCCCTGCGCGTAGAGTGAACGCGGGAAAAAATCCTACGTCTATTCAGATTCACACAAGAATTCCCAGAATTTTCCAAAACGAAGCTGAGAAAATTAATGAGCGAAAAGGACACGTCGGATCCCGCTTATTCCAGAATTCCTAACCGTCGAGCCAAATCCCTAGCGCACACGCTAAGGCGCGCGACAAGATGAAATTCCAAAAACTGATCAAAACGACAAATGCACATCGATCCATGAAAATATAGAAAGGGGCCTCTTCGCTCTGGTTGCAAAAGATCCCAAAAAAAAGGGGGGGGGGGGGGGGGTGGAAGATGACGCAGGTCCGGAAGCTGGCGCATCACATATGTGACGCTAATTTGGTTCCAAAATTAGGCGATCACTTTTTCGCACTTGCCGAAAAGAGGTGCTGGCCACTCAGGAAGTTGCACTGGGCGTGAGGTTGGGGCGTCACACCCTCTAGATTCAGCCATCCCGTGCGGAAAGGAAGCATGGGGATTGGTGGTGTGCTGAAGAAGNGGGGGGGGGGGGGGGTTGGAAGATGGCGCAGGTCCGGAAGCTGGCGCGTCACAACTCCACCCCCATTTTCCTAAAATCCTTGGCACACCCCTTTTTCGCACTTCCAGGCCCACCATCACTCCGAAACAGGAAGTTGCACTGGGCGTGAGGTTGGGGCGTCACACCCTCTAGATTCAGCCATCCCGTGCGGAAAGGAAGCATGGGGATTGGTGGTGTGCTGAAGAAGCGGAGGTAGGCAGAGTGGAAACAAAAATGCTTGTGTTTGCCGCCAGTAGTGGAGTCCCAAAAAATGTCTGCCGAAGGCTTGGCGCCAGCCAGTAGGGCCCCACCCTTAGCTAGTATGGGGAAACACCAACCAACCTGGATCTCTCCCCAGGCCACGGGGTAGGTTTGCACCGCAGTTGCGGTGCGAGAGCAAGGCTATACCAGCCCCTCATCACGGTGATGCGGGGTGGGCAGGCATTTCCGATGGAGGGAAACGGCGGTGCTAGTACCGAGCAGTACAGCCAGTAGCTGCACCTCCCCCTACCCCCACCCCACATTAGTGGTGTGTAATGGCCAATACCGTTGCTGCATAGCAACCAGCAATATTGGCCAAGGTCCTGCCAGTGCGGGGTTGGGGGGCCAACGGGGTATCTCTGGCTGGTAGGACACCAAGCCTTCCCAGGCGGTGGCACTGTGGGAATTGAACCCACGAGCTCCTGAATGCAACTGTCGTGCCTTACCCGCAGACGGGATTTTTGAACAGTGTCGCAAGGAAAGCCAGTCACCCTGACGAGAGCTGAATCCCAGTTCTGTTGTGGCTAGCTTTTTAGCCAGGCGTTGGAACAGTGAACTGCCATCCTCTCCTGAGGTGACATCCTCAAAATACGTCCACCTCTTCCCTATGATTCTGCTTTTCCCTCTCTCCCTTCTCTTTCATCCCCCCTTCCGCCTTCTCAGTCCCTCTCCCCCCTTCCCTCGCTTTCATCTGTACATCGTCTTTCTCTTGAGACTCCTATACAACGTCACCGCTTTCACGTTCCTTGGAAATCAGCACTTTCTGGAGACCGCGTCTAGGCTGTTGTCCCAAAATCCATCAGATTGCTAGTTTTGCTTTCGCGTATCGTCCCAAAATCCATTGGATTGCCACTTGTGCTTCCATTCCACAAGGAGAGAGGTTACTTGGTCGTTTTGTTTATGCATTTTCCTTTTTTCGCCACGGCGCTCCATGTGGAAGCCTACGCGCGAAGTCCGCAGCAGGACGATATATTTCGTGGCCTCGTGTCCGTGCCGTTGTTCGAATCCGCTTCCGGTCCTTCGATAGAATAACGTTGTGCCCTCGGAGAAAACCGAAGGTTCTTGGCGACAACCGAAGGTTCCATTGCCCACGCAGGCCGATTGAATGAACCTCGATCTTTGTCATTGGCCCAGAATGGGGCCTCGCTCCACTATGCAACACTCTACAGACATTGGACGCATCTGGACCAGGTGCAGACGGATGAGTCCAACGTTTTGAATGAACGGGGTCCACAAATCTCCCGAATGCATTTTAAGTGTTGTGCAGTGGAGCGAGGCCCAACGATGGCGTATTTGGGTGAGTGGAACCTCGTCCCGGTCCTTCGGCGCACAATTGGAACGATGAAAAGAGACGACCAGCATGGCCCCTGCAAAATGATGACACGGATAAATGTAGAAGTGGCATCCAGAGCTGGAATGATACAGAGAAGATTAGTAGGGCGATTGCGGAAGCATGACACGTACAAAAAGAGGAGGCGAGACCTCGTCGCAGGAGGCTGGATTATCAGACGGGAAGCCGTGACCATAATTATATAGAAATTCCACGAAGTCGCACATTTCTGGATCCGGCGATTACGGGTGGCGGGATGTTGCCATAGGTGCGGAAGAACTGTGTCTGAATTTCAACACAGGCGCAGATATTCACGGGTACGAGTGTGTGACGACCTATTTCCCGAGGCCTTGTGACAGTCGCTTTGTATTCTGTGTTTCTCTGATCGTATCGCTTTAGCCCATTTACGCTTGATGTGTCGCCCAATATATTCTTGCCGGTTTCCTTATGTCTCTCCCTCCCGCCCTCCCTGTTCTTCTCTATCTCAAACAGCCATTTCTCTGTTGGTAATCCAGCGTTACGATGCCGATGATTGGGTCGGGATGGCAATGGCGATGATGGATCTTTTATATGTGAATGTGATTGGCAGTGAGGCGCATGCCATGTTGTAGAGGGGATAGATAGCGCTGAAGGGGACACTGAAACGGAGGAGGTGGAAGAGGGAGATTGGAAGCGGGGGAAAGAGGAGAGACAGAGCGAGCGTCTTGGTATCAGGACATCGTAGTGTATGATTGACTCTTTCAGTGACAGATGTGCCCATTTGTACATGCTGTTGGTAAAGTGACGAGAAAAGAGGTGTATGCAGATTCTGATTGCGCTCTGCATTTCAACGTTTGCAAGAGAGAGAGAGAGAGAGGGAGAGAGAGAGAGAGGGG